TATTTTACCTCGTTCAGTGTAGGTAGGTAGGCGAGTAGTTTTAATAGCTCATTAACAAAATGTATGACTTAAATTCAAGTACATTAATTTATACTTGCTAAATTTATTTTATTTTATTTATTTATTTATAATATCAATATTAAAATATAATCCTTTAGGTTTACGAAAAACGTTTTTGGCTTGTACCAGCCAAATGTCCATTGTTTGGTTTGTCATTAGAAGAATCCTACTTTACTAAAGGAACTCATTTGTTTACTTCTGTTGAGGTGAATTAGAAATATAAAAATAACCAGATAATACGTGATTCGTTGCAAGCTAATTGTTTGTATAAAATTACATGCAATAATAATGAATGTATTAAGATGCTCAGCATATAATTGTTATTTTAATACTAAGATAAACTATATTCGTAATGAAGCTTCATTAATTATTTCATTTAAAAAATACTCTACTTATTTTAATCAGGTAGCTTCATTAGCTTGTGAAGGATTCGCTTTATTGTTAAATTCATATGAATATATAAGTGATACAGGATGGAAAAAATTACACCATCTATTAATTGAACCAGCTTCACCCAGTCCATCGATAAAAGTATTCAGACCACTTACTGTTTCTTTGGGTCCATTTGCTTTCAAAGAACCTCAAACAACAGATTTGAAATTAAACACTCTTGGTAGTGTCGCGCTAGACTGGTGTTTGGGTCTTATGAGTCCTTTAGGGAGACAGAAGATAGAAGAACAAAATTTGGATGTAAGTTATGCTCTGTTACTAAGATTTCAAACTTAAAGCATGGTTTTACTTAATAACAATCCACTACTCTTGTAATATTTTGCTTTACATCAAAAGTCTATTCTACGAACGTTCTGTTTTAAAGACAGTGAAATAACTGTTTTTTGTTGACTCTCTCCTTGTTTGTCGAATACGTTTGAGAGATTTACTCTGTTTATTGTTTTCCTTAGTAATTATCAATACGCAATTGGGCCACCTGTTATTTTGAATGAAAGTAGTTTTGACAGTGAAAACAAACAGATAACGTTTTTCTCTATATTAGTGTTGTACTTTGATCAAGTCTTCTCCACTGGTTTGTTTTTAACCTCAGGATCACTGGGAAGAACCATTCTCCACTTGTATCCGTTTTGGCGCCTTTGTAATGTTATTAACCTATATACTAAATTTGTTTCTTAAAACCGAATCAATGAAATTGCAATTGATCACTTGATCTTATTGAGATTGAATACAGTATGGTTTTCATCTAATGACTAGTTTATTTGTGTTCATCTGAGTAACGTTTAAAATATTTTGCAAGTTAAAAGAAACCGTCTGCAACTCTAACCTTGCAGTTATGAATATTTTATATTTTCTTCATTTCGTTTTATATTTTATTATCGTGCTTGAAAGTATAATTGGTAGTTTCAGTTGTTATTCACTGAATGGATTGTCTTTCTAAAATTCACCTTTTTGAAGCTATATTGGTTTAATATGGTAACACAGTATCCATATTGTTTTCAGAGTGTCATTATTATATCCTTATATGCAAACTCACTGAAATATCTAAGTATATGTTCTTTATGCTAAAAATAAGTTCAGAGTAATTTATTCATAAATAAAAGTTAAACGTATATTGGTAACCTACTTTTATATGTCCAATTTGACGTGACCATCCGACACAAAATGTCTACAAAAAATTCTTTAAATAATACAACGTTTGTAGTTCTTTTTTTATTTATCAAATTATGGTATATTACAACTACCATATAAGTGTTTGGCTAGTTTTATTTCTCAATAAATTGTATTATACATTTTTTTCTTCAGAAGCACAGTTTGATGAACATTTTAACGTCATGTTGTCGTCTGTTATTGCATCCTATTAATGAAGTACGTTCTGAAGCTGCTGTTGTCATTAATTGGTGTTTACAGTTTCATTGGAGAAATCTAACATATAGACCTAATTCTACCATACTGAATGAACAAAATATGAATAATATATCTTCAACTTTGCATAACTGTCATGTAGTTACTGAGAGTGGTATTCAAGTAGGCAGTGAATCAAGCCAAAACAATATTTATAAACCAGATACACCAGCTCTTTGCTTTAATTCTAGCTCATGTTCTGAACGTTTACGAAGTCAATTAATGACACAATTCAATTCGAAACCGCTTCCACTTATTTTGAATCGTGAACAAATCACATCATTAGATTTTGGAAATAGATTATTAGAACCAATTGAGTGTTTAATTCAAATGATGAAGCTTTTAGCGGATGATCAGATAAATCTGACGGCTAGAAAAGCAGCTATTGAACAAGTGATCATATTTATTCGACGTATGTTACATGATTAGTTTGTCTCTCTCTCGCTTTAACCACTACCATTTATTAGTTTTTATTTAAATATGTGAGTTGTATTTATTATGTGTAAGTAAAAGAAATACAATGTTGAAGCGCTTGAAGCCTACTTTGTTTAGTTTCCGAATTTTCCAGCAATAATGGGAATCCACAATCTCGTCAAAGGTGAGATCCAGACACCTTCAAGCTTTACAATCGGCGCATTACCTTTAGGCCATTTAATTTGAAAGCACTGACTGATATTTCTAGCTTAATTGATTGACCATTATATAGAACCATTAGGTTTGTTTTTCCCTTATTCACAAAGCATAATAGAAGAAAATCGCATTGTAACAAAAAACAACTAGTTAGTCATGGAAGTGTTTAGCACTTATGAAAATATTTCAATCAAAATTTTGAAACCTACTTGGTTAGCTACCCATCAAGTTCACCTCACATACTGTTTGTGTCTTCATACTGTTGAAATTACTTATATCTTCCAATAAATTGGGAAATCTCAGATAGATTGTACTATATTATTAATCTATCCTAAATGCAACGTGGATCAATTTACATATCATAGAATGATCTAATATGCTTTAGTGCCAGATAATCATCTTTAGTGACGTCGATAACTATTATTTTTGATTTTGCCACTCTCTAAATTCATACGGCACCTGTTTGTGTATGAGGTCAGTAATATCAAGCTTGTAACTACAGGAAATAATCTTGTCATTTCGTCGATAGCATGCTGAAAAGAGATGGAAACTCTGTGTTTAGTAATATCAGTGATACTTATTTTTGAAATAAAGAGCAGCTTGAATACTAATCTATACCGATATGATGGCTGTGTTTAAAAGTAAACTCTGTACTATCATAGTTACTATATTCACCGCTAAATTTTTTTTGTTGAAATTGTTATTTATCCAGGTCCTGTACTATTATCAGCTTGGCGTGTACATCACGGACCTGAGTTTCTAGTTAGTTGGTTTAATCAAGTTGCAAATGAATTACTGTTGTTGTCAATTCAACAAAATCCATTGGAAATAAATATTTCCAATCCAACAATCAATCCAAACTCATCTATTACTTTGTTATTACCTTATATGGTTCATTTAGCTTGTTTGACTGCCATATGGGATACATCAACACGTATTATTTTTTCTTGGGAACCAGATTTCTTATGCAGCATAATTTATTGTATGTTTATTTTGACGATAGTCGAACTTAAAATTTTTTTGAAATAATAAATGCTAACGTTTGTTATGAACATGTACTTTGATCATTACTGGTACTCTTTCTTATCAGTGAGTCATACGAAAATCGATCACTTAGTAGTATCAGTTGCGTAACCAATATCATGTTGTGTAGACCTTTCTGTTGGTCGAATATCTCTGCTCAGTTAATCGCAAAGTAGCCAGTCATTTTCTCAAATAATTTGAAATCATGATACATATTATTTGAGTATATTTGATTTGACACAATCTTCTGGAGGCTCAAAATTTTCGTATATTATAATGTGGTGAACCATATGACATGGATGATTGTATTTGGTGAAATTACAAATGAGTAAAGGGAATGCACCCATTGAAACATAAAATCAGAAAGATTGGTCCTACGAAGAGGTTCCTCTTCGGCGAATTCATTTTTAAAGCTGTACAATCATATATATATCGAATTTGTAGTTTATGATAAAGATGATAATTTTACTATATTCTCCTAGATTTATTATTTAATCATTAGTATTTCGTTAGTAACTTTGATCATTTCATAAAGATTGACTCTTATGTTTTTCTTATTATCATAACACTCAAGTGTATTGTTTAAATGTCCATCATATCCATGTGTAGGCATTATATTTGTTTAATTTTAATCATTAGTAAGTTTAATATACATGTTTTTTTATTGTCGTTATTGTTTTAATGACACTTAAATTAGCTTTATTACAATGACAATTTTCACACTTATTTCTTTGTCAATTTTTTGTTGTTGTTTAGTAATGAGCGTATTTCCTGGTTCGGAAACGTTACATCGAGATTTTGTTGATCTAATTACTTTGATCGCTTTCACTCCAGTTATTCAAGTTTCAAACGAGTAATTTCTATTTTGTATACATTCACCATGTATTTTTTTACTTAGAGTTTACTATCATAATTTCTATGTTTCAATCTAATAAATATATAACTGGTTTACAGTAATCATCAGATAACAGATTTGAACTTTTTTTCATTAAATGCAATGCGAAAACATGTACATATGTACATATATCAAGTCTTTTCATCATATTCAGTGGAGATAACGTATTGTCACTTCTCGTCATAATTGTTGAACGTACTCTTTGACAAAAAATAGGTTAAGGTTAAACACTTAATTTCTAGTGACAATATCATATGAATATTCGGTAAAGAAATTTATATATCTTCGACAGTTTTCATTGTATGTGAATACCTAATGAATTTTGTGCTCTTAAGTGGATGAAAGTTTATTTTTCATTTTATATTCTCTTACCAGAAGTCCTATTTGTTTACCTCAAGAAGTTGTAGCTGGCTATCAATTACCGTTTACATGCCCAATTTATTCGTTTCGCTCGAAATTGCGTGATCCTAATGGGAATGAACTAGTTGGGCATTTTCAGCCTCTTTTCAAATTAGCCAACTGTACAAGTGAAGATCAAAATACAAACGTTTTGTGTAGTTTAATGAGACGAAATTTCAAATTTATTTGGGCTTTTGCTTGTCATAAAGGTCTATCTAATTTTATTTCTCATACTTTGTTTATGATCGATTCTATTCCGAATTCGACCTCAGTTGATCCGTGTAATGTGGATATGTGTCTAAAAAGAGCACGTGAATATAGTCCGTAAGTTTTTATTTTGTCTGTTATCCATGTTGTAAATTAACTCTCTGTGTAATTATTATTATGAACTGAAAGGTTTAGCATAATCATTTAGAATCACTTGTCACTTAGTAATGAATCACATGCCTATTAATTTCATTGTACTATGCAGCTGATTTTGGTGTTAATTTAAAAAACCTTTCAGCAAAGAAAAATATTAAGAAAAGTGTACTGGAGATTATGGGATTAAAGTTTACTTGAAAATTGAAAAATGAAAAGAATCAGGTAATTAGAGACAAGTTGTTACCTTAATACATAGTAATCTATGAAGTTAAATCAGTTAATAACCGGTGATTCTGTTTGCCTGTACAAACAAGTGTGTTGTTAAACTAATTGCGATTGTACCGAAATAAGTCTTGAATAGTACATATTGTCGCTACTATGTCATCCGTTACTTCAGCAACTAATATAACAGGTTGACCGTCGACACCAAACATTTCTTATAGCCCTATGTTTTACTTATTATTATTTAGGATTTTTTGGAATCTAATTAACTGTCTAGATTATTGCTATATACACAACATCAAAATTCCGTTGAAAACGTATTAGAAAAGCGTTAACATCTTTGATTGAAGTAATCTTGTTATTGTAATTTTTTATTTGAAGTGAAACTTTTCCCTTTTTGGTTTGACATTTGGTTTTCCGAACCCTCTACGTTGTACTTTATTTAGTACTACAATTAACTACATATGACTAACTAGATATTATTCATTGCTTATATCGTGATAAGAGGACTTCTCACTGACTTAGTCATCTACTCTGCAGTTATGTTTGCTGTCAAAAATGTATGCCAAATAAAAATGTCATATATGATTTGTTGACGATAAGAAAATCATTCAATTGGAAGTTATAACGAACTGGAATGTATTAAATAATAATAAGTTGTGATGAAGTATCTTGAAATGTTCTTTAAAAATGGTTTTCCGTGCTGTCTTTCTATGAAGTGCAACCAAAGAAATGTTTCAGGGAACTGCCGGACAAATTAAATTTTCACTATACAAGGCACTGTTTGCATTATTTTCGGCTTTTATTAAGTTTAATTCTGCAAGCAGTCATTTCAAGTGATGGAAGTTTCCTTAGAATAGTTATTTGTTTCTTGTTGAACTCTTCTGATAACAAGTTTCAGTAGAACATCAAGAGATTGATATTTTCTCATTCTATATTATTTTATTACAGCTGCAAAAGACTGTGTGTCACCGGTCTCAAATATAGGACTAATTGATGTTTTGTTAAAGTATTTCCTTCCTTTTCTCTTCATCAGTGACTTTCTTTTCCTCTACATGTTTAGTATTCCTTCTGTCTATTCTTTTACGAGTTGTCGTTTATCTACTGCTCAGTTGAAAGGTTATTTATATAGTTATTTCTATATGATAAATTTAAAATGTTAAAATTGTTACTGTATTAAAATCAGTTTAATTAACTAAGCATTATGTATTAATGTGATTGACTTATCGTCATGTCATTTTTTTCCAAAACTTTCAGTCTCCTCAGTCAATTTTCATTATCTTGTTTGGATGTTACTCTACTACTTGTCAGTCATCCAGCCTCAAGTTTTTTACTCAGTTTATCATGTATTCGTTGCGCTTCTAATCATTCCCATTTACTAGAATCGTTAGGATTTTTATATCGATCTCTATCAGCTCATAAAACACAATATTATCAATGTCAAGATATCAATAGTCATGATTCGTCAAATAATGTAAATCCAATTATGGAGTCTAACAAGTCTAAAAATTGTTGGTGGATCTATGCACAACTTGATCGATTTATGTCTACTTTACCATCTTGTTCATCTGATTATAATCTACTTGCTTCATTATTGTGTGCTCTTCATGAAGTTGGACTTCATTTAATTCCGTTCAGTTTGAATTACTTTACAAATTCATCTAAAGTAATCATTTTTACTAATTGAAATTTCATTTAATTTATTTACAAAATACTTGAGAGATATTTCATGAATTATTTATTGTGCTTTCATAATTATCTAATTTGTTTAAAACAATTAGTTCCTTTGATAAATTTCGATAATGCAATGAGAAGATGAAGTTTATAAGAATTATGTGATGTATTTGCGCAATACATTTTGAACAATCTGATCACACATATATAAATGTTCTTAACAAGTATACGTATGATCAGATTGTTCGAAATGTATTGCCCACATATATCATATAATTCTGATAAACTTCCTCTTCTCATTGCATTATCGAAATATCTAATTTGTTTTAAAATGAACAGATATCACTTAATACTATTATAATTCATTCATATAACAACTAAAATGAAACAGAATCAGATCATACCATTAAACTACTACTATTATTCTGTGAATTCTGTAAAATGATATTCATAAGATTTTACAACTTAATATCAACTACTTATTGTACAATAGATTGATTGATTTATCTACATTGAATGAATGTGATTACAGTGGGTTGATTTGTGTTAAAATACATAGTCTTTTACTTGTCGCAATTTAATCGATCATAAATAATGTTGGGACCTTGAAAAAATGTGCATCAGCTCAAGTTGTCACAATTCAAACTAGATAATAGAAAAGGAATGAACGAATAGATAGTAAAAAATTGAAGCAATAATATAATCCGTGTTATTGAAAGTGATATGATGAAGAGTATTTATAGTTCACAATTAGGGCTTTAGGAATTTTTTGTTCTTTGAGCTTAGTGGTTCTAGTTAGCTCAGTGAACACGAGATTCCCCAAATTCTCATCCTGAGCTACAGGTATTCTCCATCTGAAAATCGTTCCGGCGCAACACGCTTCTCGCCATTCAGAGATGTCAGCTTCGTTAAGAAGTAATCTAAAATAAAAGAACAATTGTATTTTCTCCTTAACACAACTAAACCATCCAACTTGGAGAGCACAACACTTCCACGAATCAATAAATCTGAGAAATCGAAAGTATTAATAGTTAAAAGCTAGCGGCAGATAAATGATAAATACACTTGCACTACTATAAGTACATTGTGAGTCATGTTCTAAGTAATTACACATATGTATGAATGCAGTTTAAATGTTCTATGAAATTGCGCTCTTTTTTAATGGTTAAATATTGTAGGGATTCAGAACACTTAGTGGTAAAAAATACAAGTTTACAGATGACTGTAAAAATAAAAGTGTTTTAAGTGAATGTTTAGCAATGATGTAAGTAATAGTTTTTCTCATTATTTTATTTGTTGCCAGAACAATCTACGTTCATGTTGTATTTGAGTGTAAATCAGTAAACTAAATAACATATAAAATGATCATTGAACTGGACGTTAAATATTCTATTTGTTTGGTTAGCTACAAAAAAACAAATGAATAAATATCCGTTACCGATGAATTATTTTGGTTATTTATTTCAACATTATATGTATCACCGTTTTTGGACTACCAAACCTTAGCTGATTTAGTTCATGTCTATTTTAAGCTGATCAGTCACTGAGTAATAAAGATTATTTAATCTTTATGATTGCTTTGGTTCTATCAACTGACTTAAGAAAGCATTAATTATATCAAAGTTGGTAAGATGTTTTTCTAATGATTACCAACTGTAGATTTATAACTTATGGATGAACCATAAAAGTTTAAAATAGCAAGTTTTGGATTTTGGCATGGAATTTATTCTTTCGTATAGAAAAATAACAATTCATTGTGAAAACCCTAATTCTAATTTCTTACTTTAACTTCTAGATCTCTATTTTATTCCTACTTCCTCACACTTATTTATAACCTTGTTTCAACCCACCTAACTGGTTAAATTTTCTCAAGGCCACTTTAATATCGCTTTACGTTTGTCCAGTATTATAGTCTAACTGCTTTCGTAATACATTTGAGTTTCAGTAGACATTCATTTAGTCGTTGTTTCATAAATTCCACTTTTTCTTTGTCGATTTTTCAGGAATATATGTGCGATTGGTTGATGTTTCTAATAGGGGATCCACAAGGCCCCTTGAGTTATTGTCTTCTGCAACCGAAAGCTGGAGTTGGTGAAACAGACAGTCCACGATTAGTATCTGCTAAAAAACACCTAATTTATCATACTTTGCCCTGTTTATTAAGTGATTTGTTTAATACGATTGGTAAATTGAACAATATTATAGGAGATAAAAATTTCAATAGTATACTCACAAAGTATTCTGAATCACAGTATGTTCTTTTTTCATTTATATTTTGAAAGTACCTGTATATTATGTCATGACATGTTATGTCAGTGTTATATCCTTAAGAAGATTAGATTCTTGAATTGTATTGAGGCTCATATAATCTAACCTGTTGTTATTCGGAAGAGTTGTATTGTTGCACGACAACACAAATAAGGAATTATCGTAAATGCACAACTCAGTCATAAGTGTTACAAATGCGGCGATATAAGCATATAATTTATGAATTACAAATCTGGAATAGTAACAATAACGATTTATGGGTTAATGAAAAGCTTACAAAAAGGAGAGAATATACAATCACAGTAATTTGGGCATCCATTAATTAGGTAATAAAAACGTATACAATAATTCTGCATAGTTCTACTTTTTCCAAATTGTCTTCAGCATGATAGCTAATTCATTGCTTTTTGTTACGTAACAATTAAAAGAACTATTAATTATAAATATTGACCTGTGAGAATTCAAATAATCGGAATATAATTTTATTCTCAAAATGATTACCAATTAAGGACCAGATAGTATTGAGTTTAATTTCACAGTTGATCTAATGATTTTCCTATTCAATGAATTCTTCAAATATTAGTATGACTATAGTGTGAGCCTTATGATCCAAGCTGTATTACAACTTTAAATTATCTAATATATTCTTGGCAATTATTTATGAACTACTTACTCAGTATTTTACATATTTCTGAATAAAAATAAAAGTAAAATCTTGTTTGACATTAGATTGTATAGGTTTTAGAGAGTAAGAAAGCAAGTCAGTACTTTTACCATTAGACATGTAAATTTACTCATGGGTTTTAATTGTGTGTGTACCTGTTATCGACATTGATATATAATGGAATAAGAATTTCAATTTTCCCTACAGTTTACTAAAATGAAAGTATTAACTCCCATTTATATTTTTCATTGTGTTAATGAATGTCTTCATAATACGACGTTGACGCTGTAATGAATGATCTCAATGGGATACTGAATTTTCTACTTTTTTAAATACTTGGAGATATATTTCATATAAATATTAGCCCAAAATTTTTAATTAGAAGATATTTCATTGAATTCATGTATCGATTAATACTAGACAACCATTGAAAACCTGGAAGCACTGGACAGCCGCTTCTTTCTAATATGGAACTCCTCAGCAGGCGAGAATCAACAATCCCGTACTCGGGATTTGAATCTAGGACCTTTGATCTCCCCAACGCCAAACTGGGAGATACTTATCTTTAAATTTCAGTCGTTTTTCACCTTTGCATTTTTTTGTAAAACTGTATTTTGAACACGTTAAATATACTGGTTAAGAATACTAGCTATTTCTTCTAAGGAATGAGTAGTTAACGTGTATTCTAATCCTTGAATTGCTATTTCATAATAGTCCACATTTTTCACTAAATATTTTACTACACTAAATTATCATAATTGTTCTTTACAGATTTTCAGAAGTATTTAATTATTATAAAATTAAAGTAATGAAGTTGTTTTTTGTTTTTTCTATTATTTTAGATTACATAATATATGTGATTTCAAAGTGTATGAAGTTTGTTTTCAATGGGCTTGTAATACATTAAAAGAATTTATTGTTTCTCCATTCTCTGATCTAGTTCGACTAAATCTATTGGCTAGTATATTGGCTCAATTGACTTCACCGTAATTCAATTATTATCCATATTATTTTTCGTCATTCCATTCAAATTATAGTGAATTAATTAATTTGTTGCTATATTATTATTTTGAATAATTCTTCTGGTTAGCGTTTTTTAGCGAGTTATTTTTTACGGAATGGGGTAGCTAACCCCATACCCAACCCTCCTCTTTTGTCCGGGCTTGGGACCGGCAGTAGCCCCCGGAGGGACTCCGGGCGGAGTTGCTATAATATTATAAAATGAATTAAAATTAAAGTCCTTTCTTTGTAAATTAAAAAGAAACAGATATAGAAGCAATTTGTATAACGACCAATTCTGAATAAAATTAATTGTAATTCTTCTAATATGAAGATGAACTCGATAAGTAAATCAACAATAAACAGATAACATTTCAATGTTATTAAGTCATATTAATATATAAGAATATAGAGAATATGGAACTTTCAGACTGACTTTATATTCTGAATAGAAGTTGAAAATTGAAATGGAATAATTCTACTTAGATAATAAAATTAAATGTGTGATATTAATGCACAAAATTAGCAAGTTATAAATGATAATACATAATCAGATAAATAACAAAGATGATATATAAAGAAGGATATAAATTCGAAAGAAGGTTATTCAAGTTATCTTCTAAGAAATAAGCTGACTTTTCATAATAAAAAAAAACTAGGTAAACTTGGACTCTCCTGAATAACTCTATAGGCTTTTTTCCATCTATTCACTTTTGTTTTCTTGCTGAAATTATCGTCCATATAATTTTGGACTGATGTTATTGTTAATAGAAACATGTAGATACTTTGGATGATGTTGGATAGTTAGTTTTTTTATTTCATTCGTCATATTCAGATTACAGTTTAATCGAGTTTGGCGTAATTTATTGAAATGAAAATAATTCAAACTAGAACAAACGGCATTATAAGCAAATATGGATAGTGGCTAGCAGTGGGATCCAGGACCCGCGTTTCGTCCTGTCTGGGACTCGTCAGCTGGATGTACCTGCATCTTAGTTGATGTTCGCTCCGGGACTCGAACTCAGTACCGTTCGCTTCAAACGCCATCGCGTTATCCACTTAGCTACTGAGTCCTGATAGCCACTTGCTTGTGCGATGGGGTGAAGTTTAATTCACTTGATATCGTTTTACTTGAATTTTCCCATTGATGTTTTTAGGACTGGAATTGATCAGTCTCTTATTGGCATATGTGCATACTGTGCGTATGCCCCGATATTGCCTTAATTTACAAGCTAACTGGTTGATAGGTTTATCACTATTTTATATAATAAATATTTGAAAACCCATAGGTTGTCTACAGTTATTTTTCTTTTTCTGATATTTGAGCTTTTGTCATTTGGTTTTCCCAACCACTGTGCACATAGTAATTTTCGTGAGAAACCATACAATGTCGTTTATCATGTATATCGGTGTCCTAATCTTGAATACATTGTAGAAATGTCATTGGTATACTGTTTTTACTAGGCTGACTCAACTGTTACGTAATTAAAGCATTTGAATATCAACAACTAGATCATAAGCTAAAACACTGCCTCACACATTTTGGTTTAGATAATTCAGTCGTCATGATTTTTCATACCAAGCCTATGTTTCAAGGTGAAGTACACCAGTTAGTATTATTTTTATAGACATAATTATTGAAAGATTACTCAGTTGGTAAACTTATCGTGTTCCGATAAAAGATGTTTTTATCTATCAAGGTTTTACAACTAGTTAATAGCACTAATCTGTCCTTCGAATGAATATGTAAGAAAAAGGTTAAGTTCACATGGCTACTGATTTGCAGTAGAGGAAATTGAAATTAAGAAAACACATCTATATTCATTTTGTAGGGTAGATCAGCGGTAACGTTTTTAACTGTTATACTTGGTGATACAAAGTCGAATTCGTTAGGGAGCATCACTTCTCTCAAGATCACAGGTACACCTAGCTGACGAGTATCAAGTGGCACGAAATTTAGCTCCAGGTTATCTTGTCGAATACTTTTAATCACCACCTTACATTGATTTTGCATGAACTGTCACATTTTTAATAGATTTATAATTACTGTTACACATAAAAAGAACATGAAATTTAAGTTAGGGATGTCTTTCCAATGAACTAATTTTAACCAAAGAATCTAATAGTAAGTTCGTTGAAAAGTGATTTCCATGCTGAATTTTATATTATATCATTATGATTTTAATTTTAACATTCCTTTCTCTATATTATAGTAAATTTCAAGAAATCGTTCACATTTTAAATGATGGTGAAATTATTGGACGTTTAATTAATCATGTATCAATATTACTTTCAGCATTTATTCAACAGCCTAATCATCAAGCTAATTATTCATATATTGGGTCATCTAATATTGTTTTATTTCTAACTGTAATAAATAATTTAATTCAAACACTATCTGTTCAACCATTTATACAACAATTAGATTTAAATGATGTCCTACTAGATAGTAATAAAAATAATAGCAATAATAATAATAATAATAATGATAATATGAATAATTTTCATAAATATTTATCTTGGATTGATGAAGAGTGGATTTTGAAAAGCTTAACCTATCGCCAAATAGAGGTAAATGTAGGAGTCACTTTTCTTGCTTTTTTTTCTCTTCATCTTATAAACCCAAGGTTTATATCTTTAATAGTGTCTGATACTAGATTACGGTGTAAATGAAGTATTAGTAAGAATTCGACGTCTAGTAACAATAGCACTTAAAGACTTAAAATTGATGAATTATGGCTACAGCGGATATATCTGCATCGTGGTGACAAAATAGTATAATCGGATTACATTAATTAATTTTAGGTGTGATCTGAATAACCAGCTTTTTATGTAGTAAATGATTTGCTAAGTATAAATAATAAAAATTGTTATTATGCGATATTAAATGTAATCTTTGAAAAAATTGACTAACACTTTAGCATCTTTTCTTTTATTATACCTCGGTAAAGAGACAACGACTTTATTCAGTTACCATAGTTTTATGCAGATCTTTAAGAATTCATTTGAACTCTAATTAATTGTTAGTTTTTAAGACGCTTATGTTATCTCCGCCTTTCGAAACTGATGTTTTATTATTTTCTCAGTTAAAATATATGCTATTCGACTTCTTTTGGCAATCAATTGATAAGGATATTGTTTTTTAAAAGTAGTAGACATTTTTACTCACTTCATCGTTTAATCAAAACTGTTCCAGTTAAATTATCATTTTTTTCATCACTTGTTGATAGAGATTAATTAATAATGGTATTTTATACTTTGATCATTTTTTATTCCCATGTATAGGTTCGGGCTCTAGCTTTATCGATTCTTAGTCGTGTATGCTTAGTTCCTATTTGGTTACAACGTTTGCTGACGCGCAATATTTCTACAGAAACACGCACACTTTTGTCTGCCCATTCACTTGAATGGTCATCTCCAGGTGCCATTTGGGAGGTGGCTTTCCATTTTCTAATGGATTCATCTGAATCTTGCTGGGTTCGCATAATGGCTGCACGGCTACTTATTAATTTAACAGCTCTGCCTTTAAATCCAAGGGATTCGGTGATGTTTTTCCCTCCAGCGATAAATGAATTTACGTCAGGCTGCTTAGAAGAAACTAATCTATGGGATAAATTTCAGTTTTCACGTATTCCATTCAATTCAGCTACTTTACGAAGTCGAACAACATCAAATAATATTGGATATAATATTCATGATTCTAATGAGCCTGTTGTAGAGTTGCAAGATATTCTCAATTCAGATCAATCTTCTCAACAGCTAAGAGATAACATTACACAGCTTATGGATGTTTTAAAACCATGGACTGATGAATTGTTTACTCCAGCGAACACGATGAGTAGTATAGGTATGTATTTTGTATTCTGATATGAGTTTACTTGTGTTTTGATAGATCATCAAATGCAATTCATACCAGTGCGTGTTTCAAAACCACCAAAGAATATTACTATGCCTGTTTACTCAGATCTTAATTCCAATGTAAGTTGAATGTCCTATTCGAATTTGTTTGTGAATTGTCGTACTAAGTTATTGTTTTCTATATCTTATTTAATCAAAATGAAAGACATGTGATAATCTTTGAATTTAAATTTTACTGTTAACTCACTTTAGGTAAGAACCTTTGATATTTTGTGTTTCAAAGCGAAACTTATTAGATTGTACGTAAACAGATCGACGTTGTTCGTAAGTTCGGTTCATCGGTTAAAGCCACTCATGAAATGTGACAGTCTTTTATTTAAATCAGTTTGAATTTAAGTGAAAAAGCCACTTTATGAACTTTTATACCAGTATAAATCTGTTATCGAGTATTATCGGGTTGTAAATGACTTTTAAACTGATGGTAATGTTTTTCAAATACTAGCTTCTCAAGTATCAACCTAATCATTTAATTTATTTAGTTTTTGAAATGACTGATCAATTCGAAATTAGTCATCGCCAATAATGGTTAAGAAGAATATGTTTAATCTACTTTATATGTATATGCCATAGTTTAACAAAGCCCTAAGCTGTCTAGATTATCTAGTTAGCTATAACTCAGCTTGAATTTGTTTCAATTTAATACTCAATTGCATTTTTATGTTACATGATATCAGTTTGTTTACGTGATGAATCTTTGTAATGGTAAATAGCGTTACATATGAAAGCGTGATCAAAAATCCAAATTGATATCCTTTTAGTATGATTTTGACCATCTGCCACTAACTTATATTTTGTTACTAATTTGGGTTATTCAAAAATTGAAACCCATACTTTTCATTCATATATATAATTATTTGATTCTATTCTATATGATATTCTTTTGAAGCATCAGTTAAGAAATTTTATTTCTAGCCCCATAAGTCATGAGCTCAATACAGAGTTTCACTTATTGAAGGTTGGGTGATTAGATAATATCACTAACACTAAAGCAAACAGTGTTTAAAAGCGGAGTGCAAAAGTTTTTATTTGAAGAATAAAATGCCTTATTATGATCACATTAGCATGTGAAATTAAGAGAATGCACAAGTCACGCAATTAATATTTCTCATTTCTAACTTATTGTATTTTTTCCAAATTAATTTTCAGTTTTACCTCATAGGGTTACCTGCATTACACCAATTATTAGTTTCGAAAGACTTCTTTAACTATCTTTGTCGTTTGGTCATTTCACATTTGCCTCAAACAATGTTCAGTTTATCTCAATGGCAACGACTTACCATGCCATCACAAAGCAATATTGAAAAGGTTGGAAATGAAATATTTTATGAGTTACTTGAATTTGTTGTTTTTCTTCCAAATCAATTCAATTTTATCATTTTTTGATTGAGATCATGAACCGATTGCTGTTAGACCACCATTGAAAACCTGGAAGCACTGGACGGCCGTTTCGTCCTATTGTGAGGCTCCTCAGCAGTGCACATCTACGATCCCGCTAGCGGGATTTGAACTCAGGGCCTTAAGTCTCGCGCGAGAACGCTTAACATACTGGAAAACTGAGCCGGCATCGAATCGCTTTAATGTCTAACCCCAACCAATCCACGAAATTGCGCGACCATCTTCCATTGTACTGAGGTAGACACCTGTTTGTACCCGATATGGATTGTTAGTTACCATTTTGCTCACCATGTGCTCACTAGTGACTAGCTTTGTGAGAAAATTCTGGGATTTCTGGTGAGAAGCCGTGACCAGTGGATTATACAGGGAAAAAAACTCCAAGAGTATTATAAAAGTATGATAATATGGATCATTCACCAAATTGAGGTATCTGTCCTTTGAATTGTAATCATTCAATTATTTAGTGAACATAATGTATTTTTCTTTGCGGTGTTTTGTTTTAGTAATTCTAAATATAAAACTTTTTTCAACTAATATGCTTGTCCAAGACACAATGTTATTTATGAAGTTTCAAATGATCAAAATATCTAGATCTTGAATTCTAAGTATTGAGAATCAATTTATTCATTTTTATTTAAGTTAGAGATGCGTTAGTTTTAATTGATGTTTACATATGCGTTTTTCTTTTTTTTCAATTTTATTTATATTTTTTTTGAGAAAAATCCAACTGGATAATAATAAATTATATCTCTTGATACATCTGTTTTACTGTATGCTTAGACTTTACCTGGTACTAATTTAACTAATCTGCAATCTTCAACATTGACGAAAACTGCAACAACACTTAATAACATACAGGAGGCGGTTACTTCAACAATAACAACTACAGAAATAACTGGCACAAGTCAATCTGTTAATTTTGCAAATAATGCTATATCTAATATTTCGTCAGCATCGCATATTCCATGGATTTGTACACCTTCCCTTTTAAGTACAGTTATTCACTTGCTTATTAATTTGATGCATCATTTACCCAAATTTATTTTAAGTCAACTGAAACTACATCGTATCAATCCATTATTGATGAATATAATTGATCCAAGTAATTTTCTGTACCATTTTAATTTCATTTTCATTGAATGCTTTTAAATTCAATTTAGACCTCATAACACAGTTGATTTGGCTGCATGTTCGTAGTCTAAGCATTAATAATTTCAATCGTGTTGTAATCAGTTTTTTTGAACCCTGATCAATATGTTTAGACTTGTCTCGAAGTATAAAAACCTAAGGTGTTTCTAATGGATTAATTCCAGACGCTCTCACAAACGAACTATAAAACATGTCCTTAAAATATTTTGAAATTCACTTCACACCATCTAGACATAAGGTTTTTTCGTTGCATGAGGAAACTACTCTTCGAACTGAAAGAAAATTTGAACTGAAGTTGTATTCCAACTTTTAACTTCCAAGCTAAAAGTCCTTCATTGTAGCAAACCGACAGTATTGTGAATAAATTGTTATGTAATTGTAGACGGCCGATTCTTTATATGAATTTTTAAATACTCAACTGAATAAAATTTCAGACGGCTACTGCTACTGATAGTAGTGTACTTCATTTAATTTTTCTCTCGTCTACTAAGCATTTAATTGGAATTCCAAAATATTCATTTCTCTTTTTACAGATTTGTTACAATGTGCTATTCAACAAAGTACTATTTCTTATTCTATTATTAATAACAAAAGCTCATGCAACCAATTAATTCAATGTTATGCCAGTTGTATACATACTTTGCGCTGCCAAGCAGCAATGAATGAAGAATGTCGTATGAATCTAATTTCTGACTCTCTTTTTTTAACACGGATAATTATAATTTTAACTATTTCGATAAGTAAGTATACATCTTATTTGTTTATTACCTTTATTTACCAAGAATATTAAAAGGTATACCGTCCTTGTATCAGTCAGTAAGTTTGAACACGTTATAAAAACGGGTATTCGTAATCACGTTTATTTGCTGACTGATATATCAATTAATCCCACTCTTCATCCTATAATTGGTAAACCCTTATTCATGAACTTGGTTTGTCATTTTATTAGTTCTAACATCCTTGAACAGTCGGATTATTTGATTATTTTTGGAAGTAATTGACAAGAAACACTAGATCTAGGTTTTGTGCTAGTTAGTGATGACGTGTCTGGAAGTTTGAGGAGACTGATGCTCTCCCTTGGTCTCGAACATGGATAATCCAGCTTAATAGTCCGATATGTTAATGTTAAGCTATTTGGGCTGCAGCCGACCTATCATAGGAGTTGGATATTTATACTGATTGATCACTAATTCATGTCATATGATCAGTGTTATTTTTTATCTAATCCCTAATGTTGACCGAATTATATCGATCAATTTTCAATGAAGCCACTCGTCTAATTGAATCGGACAGCATCAGTTTCCTCAAGATTACAGGTACAACTTTCAGACGAGTGCTCATTCACAAAAGCTTAGATCCACAATATCCAGTCACTTGAATTAGTAAACGAATTGTAACTTGATTGGTAAAATTCGACTCGCATAGAAAGACTAGACGAACTCAGTAATTGACCAGTGTAGTTTGATTTTGTGTTTATTTTCCATTGTATTTAAATCTTAAGCTTACATTACCTTCCTCTTTTATTTTGTTAGGTTACATTGATCTTATGGCTCCTTTGTGGCAAGAGATTTTCTCACTTTTAACCTGTTTATTAATTTATTCGAACAATGAAGAAACAAAAGGTTTAAATTTACGCCTAATTTTAAAACCTTTAGCTAATGTGCTACCTAACTTCATGGATATTATTCTCACATTTATTGATAGAGCTGAATTAGAAATATCTAAAGAATGTAAATATCGTCATTCTATTAAGTGAGTATGCTTTTCATCAAAGCTTCGTTTATATATTTTTGTTAATATTTAGGATACAAGCGAAAAAATATTGAAATATAGTCTTATATTGTTTAATATACTGAGACTTATTAAATAGCTAACAGTAACTATGGTTGTACTATTTATTATATAGCGCGATTAAATTCTATCATTCAAATTGTTATTTGGTCACTAGTTTTATTGACTCAATCTCAAATTGTTTCTGTGCTTAATTTTACATGATTAGAGGAAAATTAATCAGAAATTCTAGATTAAGGTCTTATACTGATAGGTAAATGTCGTGGCAGCGTATCTATGATATTTTGAAAACTAATGTTCCTCGTTGATTTGTCATCTAGTGTTACAAACAAAGATGTTAGAAATGATATTACAGGTACAGTGGACCTGCTATAAAACTGGTTAGTCCTTGAGTGATATTCATTGTCATGTTTGGCCCTTAGAGCTGATCGAATTCAATCGGCTAAGTTGCAATGTAGCCAGTGTTAATTTCAGCTAAATAAACTCACCTTAAGTTCATAAAGTCTTTTTCATGTATATAGATTAATGTATATTGACTTACATTCTAATAGATTGAACCTAGCTAATATGATCCTTGGTAGAGACAATAAGAGGATCTAACTTAATCAACGATAAACTGAATTTTCATCCATTAAGAATTGTTCACGAAAAGGTGGTAATAATAGTAATAACAACTTTTCACTAGTATCATCAGACAATCACCGTATAAACCATATAATACTATTCCTCCTTCTCAAAAGAACTATAGTTTTCCAGATAATTTAGCGTTCAAATTAATCTGGAAGTGAGATAGAAAACTGATTGATGTTCAGTGATATAGTAGATTATTTTATTATCATAGTGAGTCTCCATTCTATACCAAATTGATTAGTCTAATGTAGAACCCGAAAACGTTTTACCATTCTTTTGTGCTATCATATCCAATGAGAAAGTTGATATGACTTGTTTGTCTTATTCTATGCTTTTATGTGGGCCACGAAAAATAAGTTTTTCCACTAATTGATATCTAAAAATCTATCTTCAGCTGAAAAGCCACTGATAAATTTGTCCTAAATATCATAAACTGAGTCCATCGTTTATCCATCTAATACGAGAATCAACTGTAGATCGTACTTTTTGTAGCGACTTATCACGTTCGAATCTTCATCGATTTGGGGAACCATAACACATGTTACTCATTACTCCAATGCACAATGCAATCAGATATAGGACAACCAATTTTATTTAGCATAAAATTACAGTTACTTGGTAAAATAGAAGAACCATACTCCACTACTTCATTTAAAAAAAATTTTCATTAGTTGTCTCAGACTTCATTATTCCTGCATTTCCATACCAATTGTTTTCTGTTCCCATTCTTCTTTCCTTGATCTCAAACTTCCGCTGCCAGATATTCTATTTCTGACTAGCGTTATATACTACTTATGTCGACATAAGTAGCACACACAAGACTATGACATTATCCGTCTATGAAGCCATTAAAAAATGATATAAGTTGTGCAGCAAATCAAGATTTCCCAACTCCGTTCCACAAAACATAGTATTCTGCACTAAATTGTTTAGTAAGGTTGGCCATGCACACTTTTCCTAGGTTTTTATTTGTTTGAGACTATCGCTTACTGTTGTTCGAATATACTAAATTACTGCTATCCAGTATGGAAGATATCTTAAGATGATACAGTTCTTATAACTATCGAATTGAATTAATTAGCGTGTTTAAGATGGTATTATCATACTATTTATCTTTTGTACTCGGTTACATCATTACCATAAATTGTTGTCACCTAATAATATGTTCGTTGTTTTTATTTGTTCATAATTATAGATTCTGTGCTCACGCTCGTATAGCATTACAATTGTTGGTGGTTATTATGTCACACCAACGTCCAGTTTCTTTGAATCCTGTACTTAATCGTCTAGAGAAAGAATACACGCTGGATACGATTAAATCAAAACATCCAAGTTCTGATAAATCATTGAATGATATTATTTATCTCACTAGACGTTTAGTTCAGTTATCGAATTCCAGTCATTGTTTTTCACAGGATGGAACATCACCTAGATTATCAAGTCATAACTCAATAACAGTTATAATTAACTATAGAAAAGCTATTGATAATGCCTTACGTACTCTAATTGGAATATGCCATGCAATCAAAATAACTACTCTTGAAGGTAATCAGATATAAGTTTACTTGGTTACTAATTTGTTTAATGAAATATTTATTATTTCCACATATTTATGTAACACTGTTTTGGTTTAATATAAGAACTATGATCGGCTAGTGTTTGCGTTTGTAATGTTACTGTTTAAGGATTACTGATAGAGTTTTCTACAATTATAAACATTACTCTATTATTTCTTTCATTAATTTTGACTGTATACTTAATGGTAATCAAGTAAACTTTGTAATTCATATTCTTCCCTAAACTGATACTGATATCGTTTATAAAGCCAACGTATTGGAAATATTTTTATTTTTCGACTTCTTTCACCTAATTATATCTAATTCCGTTCGATTACAGTCGTATTGTTCGACCGTCAGTCGATGTTAAACTCCGTCGATCGAGAAAGTATATAACAATTTTTATTTTCGTTACCTCACTTGAAGTTTTCCAAATTGATGTCAACTTGCAGTGCGTAGGTAACATGGTTCTATTTGATGAAGATAAGTTAATAACTGCGAATCTTTTAAACTTGTGAGCTATCATTGAAAGAATATGTGTTATGCATATCTTCCTTTACAATTAGAGGACATTTCTTGACTAGTTTTTGTTAGTAGATGAAGTGGCAATATAAGTGTTCTAGTGTTTGAATTTATCAACCATTTCATCTATTCTGTACTCCTTACTCTAGTGTGTTAGCAACTGATAAAATCACAGTTTAAATGTGAAATGCCTGATTGCTGTTTGTCAAGCTTCTTCACTCGTTGTACAGATGAGGCATTCTTTTTTCTATCACGGGTTGAATATAGTACATAGCTATATGCTTTATATTATATTGCTCCTCTGAAAAATGAATTTGAATGGCATTAGATATTTACAAACTGAAAATATCTTGTCATGGATAACTGTGGGGCATTGGTAGTCTGATAACTCAGTTGATAAGGCTATGAGCTTATATATATATATATATATATATATATATATATATATATATATATATATATATATATATATATATATATATATATATATATATATATATATATAATGCTTTAAGCAGGGTTGGACGCAAAGATTCAAACAACCACTGAGAATTCATTTCTTACTTCTTTTTCAATCATTTTTACTCATTTTGTTCATCACTAAATTTCATAACAATTCATGAATAACGATACTTTTGTTTACTCAATCCACTATCATCGACACATTATTATGATGTGCGGTATATGTAATTTGATTTCATATCAAATACTATGCTGTTGTGTGTGTTTGTTTGTTTGTGATATATAATGCCAGTTTGTTTCGTTTCTGTTCAATTTAGATGGCTTTCTAGAAGAGTCGATTGCTAAATTGCAACTTCTTCGAGCAAAAATGGAACTATGTTGTACTAATGTTCATGTAAATTCAGAATCTGACAGATCAGCTTCTTGTGATTCGAAACAATCTTTATCAAGTAGAGTATCTGTAGATCAAAAAGCTGAGCGTCGACATCAAACAGTATCTACATGGCTAAAACTTTCGGATGAAATGATCGCAAATTTAGAAATATTACATAATCTTGTTTACATGTGTCCGGAGGCTAGAATGCGTGCTATAGAATCAGGAATTATTCAAGTAAGATCAATTTCTGTACTCCCTTACGAAATTTTCATTTGAATTAAAATGATCTCAAGTTTTAAGAGTTTATATTATAAATGAATCATAAATTTCTTCTCAAATTTATATTTTCACTACATTAAAGCCAGTCTATGATTTATTGATTTCGTTTATGCCCTAATAACCGAAACAATTCGAAACTCATAATTGTAACGTATCTACACGTCTATCACTTATTTACGTAATCCACTCATACAATTAAGTTGCAAGTACACGTAATAGAAAAGCGATTATTTAAGTAAAATGAATCATATATCAGTAGATAACTGACTGTCACACCTCAGTGATAAACCATGCAATAATAAGAATACCTTTATTCACTCCCATTCGTTGGAGTTAAGAATTCTATGCACGAATTCTTATCATATATACATTTAGCTTATTAATGCTCAAAAATATGTATAACAAAGTATTCAACATGATGTATAAAAATTATATTTAAAATCATCTCAGCGATTGAAATTAAAGTAATTCTAACGTTTCATTCAGCAATCTTGTCTAAAATTCTTCAGGTTATTAATGATAGAAATAAAAAATATCAATGAATGTTTAATAAATAAATTTGCATTAGAAGTTTATTCAATGATATTTGAAGGTTGATTTTGTTGTGTAGGGAAACGTAAGTCAGTAACATGTGAATGATGTAACAAGTTTACAATACGAAAACACTGGATGTGTATATCTTTATATTATTAATAATTACAATTTAGTAAATTAATTGAGTCTCTGTTTACCAGCAAACACATTGATCATTATGTTTATTAAAAATGTTAGTACAACTTAAACGTCTTTTAGAACGTCAAGGTGTATTCAAAACGAGACACATCAAATACATAGTTATGATGTTAAAACATTAAAACTATTTTTTTTGTTAAAATAAAGCCACCTGTGAATCAAAATAAGGTGCAAATTACTTGTTAATAGGTAGTTGCCAAGGTGTGGCTTATTAAGTTACATCTTTTCTATTCAATGTGTTCTGATTATTCCATATATACAACACTTCTGCTGTCAACCTTTTTTCTGCGCTGGCCAAAATCTTGTTGAAGTATTTTGATCTCTTCAAGTTTATCTTATATCATATTTCTGATGGGAACATGGTACAGGCATTATTTGTGTTTCATCAACCTCACATTCAGTTATCTAGACGTTTCGGTAATTAAATTTGCATTACTTTTGACGACTTTTTTTTATAAAGGCTCATGAATACATGCTATGAATATAATTAGTCAGTTAAAACGGATCTTAACCAGTAACATTTATTTAAATATTTACGCAATTAGATCGCTTCAACGTATCATGAGGTTTTTGCTGTACATGTCTGATGTTAAATCGTCAGTAACATATAATTTTGAATAATGGTTGCGATCGAATTGAAATAACTTGATTAATTTACTCATTACAAGGAAACATCTGTTAAATTCATGGAATTATTTTTTAACAGTGATATTGGCAGCCATAAGAATGACTATTTGTATCTCTACATTGACAGTTTGAACGTTAGTAGTTTTGATTGACTATATAATTTGTCGTTTATTATTTTGAATATTGTTTAATTCTTTGAGGCTTTTTAAAAAATATTTTCCATCAACTAGATTCATTGTGTTTAGTAAAATCTTAGTCACTCATCCAATCAAAATTAACGTAGAAACTTGCGTATATATGCGCTTGCTCAAGTAACTATACCACAGCAAAACGAAATGAAATTAACAAGGTAAATAATAAAGGAGTCGGAATAATATATTGGCAACGATAAGAAGAAGAACTGGGCACTGAAAATATAGTTCGCAAAAGATAGAATTAAAGAGTATTTATGAAGAAATATTGGAGCTCAGGATCTAGATTAAGATAAAGACTGGATGAATTTTCTCCATTGTGACTGATTTTGAGTAATATCACCTAACATCTTCAAACAATGGTCGCGTTTATCATACAGACCCTAATCAGGAAGTCTAAATCGACCAATGTAGCTCAGTCCAACATTCAGTATCTTTGTCATCTGATGAAACGTCTTATCTTGACCACCTTTTGCTTTTCTCAACTTCCTCTTACACCACTTAACATTGAACGTCGAGTTAGACGGTGGTTTGTAAAATCCCTCCAGTCTTTAAATATCGAATCGACGTAACTAGTTTTCCCGGCTTTTCAACTTTCACATCTTCCTTGTTCAGGTTTTGTGCACATCAAATGTTAGTGTACCTTTCCAGTTTTACTTTGTATTGAATTAGTCTACAAATAGTGTTAATTCACCATGTCGTTCACAAATGGTTCATATAGAATCCAGTGCACAAACGCATTTGTTATTATCTGTCTTACAGGTGATTATATGTATTTGGCCTTTGGCTTTGCAAGATTTACGAATCCTACGTACAATACTTGGTCTACTTACTAATTTAACAGCTGACTGTCCACGAGCTTCTTCAGTTTTGGTTAATCCTTCAAGTACAATTAAAGTTAATCCATACATAATTTCTCAATCGATTCAGACTGCAGGCTCAAGTAACATTCAAGGGGACATACCTAAAACAGACGGTATAGCGGTGTTTTGATCATTTAAGGAGTTGAATATATGACATTTCATTTGTTTATTTCTAAATAAATTTTGATACATTTTTATGGATTCATCTTTTAAGCACTTTGATCTTGTGTTCAAATGTAGTTTGTACACTAATCTAATTTCCGTTGTTTACAAAGAAGAGTCATTGTAACCTAAAGCTTCTCATAGACCATATGGTGATGTGCAAATATGAAAACAATAGTTTATCAAGAAATAGTAATGTATTGTTGAGGTATTCAATGTTAAAACAACTTATTCTAGATTTCTCACCAAACATGATAACACTAATGCAATCTTCAGCGAGTATCTTTATTTACCACTGAATTTTTTACTCTCTATCACGTTATTTTATCTTTTTCCGGAGGGAGACTAGAGGGAATAGCTTTTTACCAGTTTACTTAACATCACTTTCAACTATATTGACTAATGCTGATTACTGATTTGAAATCACATGAAATAAAATTTCCCTTTTTTCTAAAACTATATCGCATTCCAATTTTATTCGAAACATACTTGAGGTGAATAAAATGTAGCCAAATGGCTTTGGCTTCAAATATTGAAGTTGTACAGTATAAATAGCTTAATATTTTCTGCCCATTGACATTGATCATAAGTATGTTTTTTTCTTAAATGAATTGTTTGGAAAGGAATGACGAATAGAATAGACTTGTTCGATTTTGAATGAATTGAGAGTACAATTTATTATCGTACATGCATTTAATGTATGTCTAGTATAAATACTGTGAGATTTGTGTATTACAGCTGTAATACACGTAAGTAACTAACATGTTATCGCATAACCTCTTTCCTTGTCCCTTATTGTTCAATCGTTAAATAACCGATGGATTGTTTGTGACGAGAATTGACATTTGTTACTGAGTTTAACTCTTTTAATATGAGTTATTTCTAACATCAGCTAGTTATTATTCATTGTTAAACTATTCATTATTAAAATATATATTCATATATAAATATCCTGGGAAAACCAAGATAGTCTATGACTTGAATCGAACTCGGATGTATTATTCTAGTGAATATGACAGATGAAAATATCAAATTCAAAACTACAAGGATGATAGATGTCACTTCCATTTACTTTGAATAAAATGATGCATATTTAATCTTCATTTCTAGATGAATTATTTAAAGTCTTATGAAACACTTGTCATATTGATTTTAAAAGCTTCTGCAAAAGCCTGAAAGTGGCCAAGAGTATTTCTAGCCAATTAGTGTTTTAAATGATTTCTCAGATAATTCTATAAACTCATCATAATTTTCTTTAATCTAACTCGTCAAGTCTTGAATTCAGTATAAATTTCAATATCTTTCCTGTAAGATTATGGAATTACAAGTTCACTGTAAACCTGATGAAATACTCAATGATTAGAGCAAACGAAACTCTTTTGGGAATAAGTGATCTTTCATATTTTCTCATTTCGTTTTTATTTGTGATTTAATTATCAAAGGTTTTAGAAATGTAGAACTTGGCTAAAAAATTCAATATCTCAACCATTCAAATCATTCATCAAATCAGGCAGTTAAATTATTCTTTTTACGATTCAAAACTATTCATCATTTTGATATATCATTAATCGAAATTAGGTTTAGTACAGTTATCAATCCTCAATTTGAATAAAATTTGCCAAAATGTTATCTCTTTAATGCTAATTGTATGATATATTTAATTATGTTTTCTTTGAACCTTTTTTTACTCTTCATAACATCTGTGCACAAAAAAAGAAGCTTCCATTATACTATTCAATGCATCGAATTCCTTGACAATAAATAGTTCTTTTATCCAATCATTATGTAATTTAATTCCAACTTACAATCAATTCATATTAACCGAATCAAATAAAAAATGTAATACAAACACATCAGGAAACATTAGCAAAACATATCAATTTAATTGTTGTACCAATATTATGGGTAATAAACAAGGTACAAGTACACATCAAGAAGATATATATAGGTTAATCTTTCAATTATTAGCTAATATTGTATGGGCACCAGAGACAAGATCCTTTTTATTAAAAGTAAGTTTTTACTTATATTTCATACTGGATTTTTCATGTTTACATTTTTATCAGTTATTCATATTACACAAGGATATTATAGCATATAGGTAACTTGTTTTATAATATATAGGGCATAGCTTTAAAACAACGATGAATCTTTTTTTGTTATAGATTTATAAATATTTAAGACCTTAAAATTATTAGTTAAAATACCAATCGATCTACTTTAAATCATAATATTTATTAGGTTAAAAACAAATCGCTGTAGGACGCTACTTATCAGGAGCCTGAAAGCTACTATTCTTTGAATGTGTTTGCTTAATTTATTACATTTTTTGTTTTTACGTTCTCTGTCCTTACTCCTTTCCCGTCGACTCTTTTTGTTTATTGTTTCATACTACTTATTAATGTTCAGTAAATAGTTGTATTCTTAGCAATTTCTACGCGTTTTTTCGTGTGATATTCTAAAATATATACATATATTAATAACATTTATTATATTTGTCATTAGAATTACGTTCTTTCAATCCCTGTAGCGGTTATTCATGGCTTTATGTAGTTACTTTATCTTTGTTTAAACGCAATAATTTCCGTATTTTTTTGATTGAGATCATGAACCGATTGATGTTAGACCACCATTGAAAACCTGGGAAGCACTGGACCGCCGTTTCGTCCTATTGGACGAATGCTGGTCTAACATCAATCGGTTCATGATCTCAGTTGAAAACGTAACAATATCCACAACACCTAAACTGATTTCAATATTTGTTTGATCTTGGTTCCGTTCTTGCTTGTTGAAAAACTATTATCTACATTAGACACAGCTATCAGCTGTCACTCGCACTATCGTATGTCATTATATTCTTTATGTTACAATTGCAGGAATCCCGTTTTCTTTCATATTTAAAGACATGCTAAGCGCCACAGGCACCCCACAAAATGAGATTTGTAACTAATTTATGTATATTACTCAATAAAGAAACGCTTTTTAGATAAATCGCTGTTTTACGAACTTCGATTTCGCGTGTATCTCAGCCATATAATTGGACTCTTTGATAGACTCAAAACTAATATTTAATAATGCTTTAATTGCGGTGCATGCTACTTATGCTGACAGACTTAGTTAGTATGTAGCGTCAGTCGGAAGTGGAATGCCTGCTAGCAAAAAATTAAATTGAAGAGAACAGGGAGAGAAATACCGAGCAATTGTACTAACAACATAATTGAAAGACTCGTAAAACACGTACAGGATAACTGAAATAAGGTGTGAAAATCATGCATTTAATGTATGGTTTTCACATTTCTGTAATTTTGCAATAAGGAATAAACTGGTTTTCCCCAGTTGAGTTCGCGTTCACTACATAGTTATCCACACCGCTGACACCAGATGACAATACTAATATATTGAATTTAAAGTGAAAATGGTAAACCTATGAAATTGGATTTCGATTCAGTAGTCTAAAAGTATTGTAGTTGCTTTAAGACTTGTAATTTATGGTTTCGATATAGAAGAAGAATATTTGCTCAATGTCTTGACAATTTTGTTTGACTTTTTTGTATCTTGATACTTAGTCGTAAATGTCTCATCAACATTCTGCACGACGTCGCCATTATTTGTTGCTTTCGTACAACACACTATTGAAATTGCTGTATAACAAATAAAAATAAAATTATTGCTTCGTTTATGAGTTTTGATTTTTTACATCGAAAGAAGATGAAACTATCACAATCAATATGATTGAACCTCACTAGTTGTTTTAGATAATATGTGTATTATTTTTGGTTTAAATGTAATTGAATAATTACAAATGCAGCTTCGTGAAAAAATAATCCTGTTTGAATAAGTTCAAAACCGTCTAGATTTTAAACAAAACAATTATTAACTGACACAGGTACGTAAGCCTCTTCCACAGACTTGTTGTAAACAATATGCCAAATGATGGAAGGTTCTGTAGTTTATCTTTAGAAACTACAAAAATACCACATCAAAAATGCTTCATTTTAATACGCTATGATAAAAGGTAGGTCAAGTAAGCTAAGATATATTGATTATCATTTTGTTAACACCAGACAGAAATTCAAGTTCGACATTTATAAACGTTTGAACTTTATTCCTTCTTAGTATTATTAAGATATGTTGATTGAAGAGAAAACATTATCGCTCATAATTCAGTCAATATTAAACAATTATTACTATTTTGAAATGGTTTCAGCTGGAAAGTAGTTAAGCAGATGTTTCATTTCGGTTTTGGACCTACCACTGAGTACCTACAATCATAAAAGGTACCTTGAACCTACATTGAACCATGATCTCTTTGAACTATCAACCAATTAACTTGTCACTATTTTGATTTTACTATTCATGATGCATTTATTCTTTATTTTTAGTCTAAAATCCTTAATCACATATCAGAATTGAACCCACGTACACTGATCAAAAGTCGTCGTGGACATTTTATACTCACCCTTTGGCTACAATTGATCCTTAATATATCATTCACTAAAGATGGACAACATATACTATTTAATCAACCGAGTAAGTCAATTTGTTATTATCTTTCTTATATATGACGTGGCATTTTAGAAGTGAAATGTTAAACTATCTTTTTACTGTAAATCTGATGTTTCCGATGTTCCAATACCATTTCCCATTAATCTGTGGAACATAACATGTTTCATGTTCCTCAAACAGTATAATTAACTTTTTTTATTGTATACATTCAAGAGATAACAATGTACTCATCACTTTTACATATGATATTACAGACCCGATTAAAAATCATAAGTAAACTAAACCAATACTTATTTATTACAATTAGATGAGTTTTTGCAGTTATTGTTGGACAATAATTAGCAGCTTACATTTCCTGTTACTATTTGTTATGATAACAAAATAACGACTAATTTGTAAATGCTTAATCATTATTTCTCTTCAACGTTTCACCGATCATCAAAAAGCATATGTTTTACAATTATTTTGATTTGTTCATATTGCCTCTTGACGTGGTTATAATTAAAACCCAAAATATAAATGATCTGAATATCGGATTACATAAGCTATGATAAGATTTCATTTGTCAAACTGGTACCAATAATTAATTTATCTGTCGAACGTGGAATGATTGTACGTACCAATACCAAGTAAAGTTGGACTTAATAATTTTAAATAAATCGAGCATTAGATAGAAAGTTAGTAATAAGACTATATATTTGTGACATCTTAATGAGTAGAAATTTGAATTTCTGACGTCTCGTGACTTCGTGTAAAACACTTCCATCATGATTGTAAAATGATTGATTTGATTGGATTGGTAAAATCAACATTATGGAGTTTTAGTGGCCCGTGGATCTGACTCCAATTAGATCGTAATGATGTTTGTTATCACCTATCCTCGTATACAATCATCGACTTAAATCGCGTTAGTCAATAACGGAATTTAGATAATTCAATTGACAAAAATGGCCTTTGAACACATATATTTTGTATGTAAAGTGAATGTAATAGAACAAAGCAAAATGACGAGCAGGGGAGATGGCTGGTAAGCCAACTCATTCTTAGCGAGGCGTTACTCAATATTTATAGGCAGACAAAATAAACTACAGACATGTGATGGACATGGGATATGAAGTGTACACGCATATACGCTCATATTAAAACAGCCAAAACTGATAAGCGAATAAATAACAAGGTCAAAACATGACTCAAGTAGAATGAATAGATTGGGCTGTCCGAAAGTTGGAATAAAACATATGGGCTTAAAAAATAACTGACACTACAGAGTACAATAGTGCTTAATAATTTTATTTAAATCGGTAAGTTTTGTATGAATGATAACAGCAAGGTCTCGCACTTATTTTTATGTTTAAAACATTTACATTTCTTTCAGATTTACCCACAATTTTGATCAATTGTATAAATCATTGTAAACCTGATAATCGTGATACAGCTTTAGTAATCTTGCGGAATTTATGCACACACAGTATTTTGAAATCGAAATTATTAACTGCAAGTTAGTCTTCGTTTGATATATATATATCCTGTTTTTTTTACATGTTGTGCTTCTAAGAAAACTATCTCATTCACAATACAGAGCTTTGTTTCAGACAGGCACTGATGATATTATTCAGAACAACAAAAGTGGGTGATTTTGAGCGTTGGTCAAGACGGCTGTAATTATTTTTCAGTTGCCTACATTGTGAATGATTTTTTCTGAGGAACTTAGAAAGGGGTCTATATTAGTAATGTTCGTAGTGAGCTGGGAGCGTGAGTGCAGAAACCATGAAGTAGCTGCTTAAAGACGACCACACACAACTTTAGCGAGAAGTTTTGGATGTCTGTTCTACACTATAAAGAAAGTCTGTGGGGTTAAATAGTTTCCCATTTTTAGGGTCAACCTTTTATAACTCCTTCCTTTCATTGTGAGGAGACATTATTGCTGTAAATGGTCGTTATCTGAAACATTTGTTGTCGAACCCAATTTTAATCAGTTGCACGACGTTACTTTCGGACTTAAAGTTCCTGCTTATAGTTTTATCATTTTGCATCAAACCTCTCTTGCGTGGTAGTACCTAAAGGAAAAATTAATATAGTTAATATAGCCCGATCGAGTTATTAAGATAGCCAACCCCCGATCAATCCATCAAAATGTTAGCAGTTATGGTCGAGAGAACGAATATTTAAGTAGATATTATCTCGAACTATTCGGAGATACTGTAGTTAAATTTTAACCCTTTGGTTATGTGTAATATCTTTACTCCTCACTTTCTTGAAATAATTTTCATTTACTAAATATCAGATCTCAACGGGATCTTAAGTGAATTGCTTCGAATAGTTCCTTGTGTATCTGTCGTTGATAGTTTTCTCCACTACTCCATATCACTTCTTTCATGTTATATGCATATCTAACATATATCTACCAGTTATTTAAAGTGATTTACGCACATTTCCTGTGATTTCTTTTATGAGATAAGTCTCATTTTGATTCGTTTCGAATTCTCTAAATGGTTGTCTTAAAATGAATATCAGTTATCAATTTATATAATTCGATAAATAAAGTACAGATGACTTTGAAGTCGAATGCTAATATTTATTGGACCAGTGTGATATCGGAGTATTTATTTATTTTATGTATTCACAGTCATCATATATTTTCTAAAATAACCGCGAATGCTACGTGTTTATACATTTTTATTCAGACTTTAACGTTATCAATTGTTTTCGTGATATATTATTGGATTCTCATTTGGACACGAATTCATTGTATTCTATTAGAGTTGTACTTAGTGCTATTGAAGCTGCGATTCATAACAGTAAAAAAGTGAGTTCCATTTCATTGTTTTGGTTCTCACTTTAATACGCTACATTGACAATTAAGTTCAAACTGCGTACAAGTTTCAGAAACTCAGGCGGTTGTAACTCTCCTCTCTCATCGATCCATTCTCGAAACGCTAATAGTTTTTTCATCGCTTTCTGTCTGGTGTGTGTATATTACCTACTAAAAATCCGAACTCTAATTTCCATACAGTAGTTGCCAATTATTTACATTATTACCTATACAAATTAAGAATTCATTCGTTTTAGAAAAGTATTGGACGTCTCATTATTTACTTTTCTAAATATTGGAATGTGATACACTCAAAGCATCTTTAGGAAATTTATTAGACTTATTATGAAGTTTGTCAAACTGTTATTTATACTTATATTGCATTAACGAACTTTCACTAGTGTACTTGTATAGCGGTGACTCAGTAATTAAGGTGTTCACCTCCCAACCATCAGGTTACAAGCCTGAACCCAGCCACCTCCTGCTACCTAATTCGAATAAGGTAAGTTTTTTCTGACGTGTTTTTACTAGAGTATAAACCATTTCACCGCTGATCAAAACTAACTTCAAACAACTACTAGTATTGATTAACTTACCAAAAATTGACAGCTCATAAAGGTGCCAAATGGACATCAGCTGGACTTGAAAGTTAAACGCATCATAAACTAAGACAAATGTTTGTTTATTGATTCACCATACTACACTTTCGCATCGGCGACATGAAAATAAACCCACAAGACTAAAAAGAAGGAAATGAAAATGATTGCTACAGATAGTCATTGCAACTGGGAATAACTTGTAGTGTTTGGTACCGGAAATCACTGCGATCTCCACCACCAAAAGTAGAATACGAAAACTGATTGCAGACGAAGATCTGTTTCACTCTACAAAATGTCAAATAAATCCTCGTCTAAAATCTCTGTTCTTATTTGGGTCATGCGATTCACAGGTTCAAATAATCAGTCCCAATTATCCACCGTTACAGCAAATGTTAACGTGTTTTGGTAAATGAAATAGATTTTCATCTTCAATCGGTTTCGATGTTCTTATATGAATCATAGAAACTGGAGTGCTTTCCGGTATTAATTATTACAAGTTTCTCCCAGTTGTAACAGTATTACGATACTTTTGGGGGGTATTTTCTTGTATATATTGATCTTAATTGTCATATAGAAATTTAACTATATATATATATATATATATATATATATATATATATATATATATATATAATACCTTTATCTTATAGATTCGTGTATTTATGAAATCTAATTCCTGTTTACGCCATTTGACAAATTTTTGGGAATCATATCAAGTCAGAAATGAATTTTTATCCGTTTTTCCAAGAGTTAAGTCCCTAATAATAAAATTACAAGGATAATTATTCACCTTTCTTAAATCACAATTACCTGTGAAAAATAGTTAGAATGTGTATATACTATAACCAGAACATTGGATAAAATGTGAAATCTCGGTTTTTTATTTATTCATTGTATAAAACTTCCTAAAATAAACTTTCATAATTAATCATCAAACTATTTCTGTTTATTTCTCAATGTTTTGAGTATTATTTATAAAATTAGTTTCATTGAAATCTTTAACAAAATTAATTTAACTGAAGGTGAGTTTCCTAGGAACTTAATGGATTCAATAGTTCTTGAAAAAAAAATGACATACCACTTATTTAAATCAGTTTTTATCACCATACAAATCTGACAGAAATGTGCATCAGCCCAAGAAGCCATAGCACATCAACACGGGGAGAGGAATGATAATTTGAAAAAATATATCAGTACCGATTATACTAAGAAACACTAAATATTGGAGGTTGCTATTCTAAGGATAAGAATGAATTTAAGGAATAAAGCGTACGAAATAATAATAAAACTCAAAACGTAGCAGAAGATAAAGTCTAAATGCATCTGCGTCACTGTGACTAATTCTGAGCTGAACGTCTCCAACTACCGTTGACAGTTATTAACTAGAATCCATTCAAAAAGATCTGGGTCTACTAACGAACCTTAGTCAAATTGTCAGTGACATCATGCCTTGATTCGGTCGCCGCAAAGTTTCTTCCAACCCATTCGTACGCCAGATAATATGGTGGGCGGTCAGATTTTCTCCTGAGACAACCCATTAGTATTCAACAAACAGACTGTTTACCGAACCAATTACTCTAAAAGACGTTGGATACTAGGAATCTGAGAATGCGATGAAGCGGCTTCAAATACTCCGTATTTATTTGACTAATACTGACTTGTAACCGAAACTGGCACCATGCAAACTGAATATCAACAACTTATGATTTATTTCCTTGGTTCAAACTGTCATATATTTCAAATTAATGTAGATTTTGATTTTACATTCTGGTTCAGCGCGTTTTTATGTTTATGATCACGCATTTTCAAGAATACTTTGGAACTTCAAATCCTAACAAGCATACCATAAATACTAGTGTTTGTTTTGTTCGAGTTTCACATCGTTAAGAACTACATAAACACCAGCGCATTTAAGTGTGAATTTAGGAAACTTAGTCGTATATAATTAGTGACAATGTATAATGAACTAGTCGCTTTAAAAACAATTACCTGACTGCTGGATTAGTAGACAGTAGTGCGAACCCAAAATTTATTAAAATCCAAGCCGAATATATTTTGCTTACGGACTTGCAGTTGTCCTGGGTGGGTTTTAAATAATAAAAATAGATACAGACTGGATTTGCTTTTATCATACTACGACCAATTCACTTTTTGGATCTCTTATAGTATCCTCCTTTTATGTATAACTTTAACTACTTAATGCTGAATTATTCTACCTAAATTTGTGGTCATCGTAGTCACATGAGTAATGTGTTTTGGAGAATAACAAATAAACTTATTTTCCGGTCTACAATTAGACATTTCGAGACCAAAGTTATGACTCCAAAGTATAAGCACATGATAAAGCTTTAAGTCGTGCTGGAGGCGGAAGAGATGTTTTCGCCAGTGTTGGTAAGCGGTTTTATTTTCAACCTGAGTATTTTCTCCTGTAATTTAACTTAACAGAGTCCTTGTCATTTCCCCATGAAGAACTACATGAAACTTTAAATTCCTACCTTATGTTATTTCAACCAGTTACAGTGATTAAAATGCAATCAGTTTATAATTTTCTCACTTTACAGCTCTATACAGTAGTCAGAAGACTATTATGGTACTATGTACTGAATACATAACATATCTAGAAATTGAAATAGTAGAGCTGGAAGTTCTTGGAACTGGAAACATTTGATATGATCGTAAGTAGTTTGAGTGCGAATTGTATGATTATCGTGAATTGAACATAGTTTTTGCAGATGAGCGTTTACAAACATTATGTAATTGTGGAAAAATATCTCCGTCTTTTTGTCCGTTGGAAAGCTCCTCTTACACAACATTGTTAAATGATTAGAAAAACTAATATGCTATCTTCCAAAAGTTTCACATAATGCACTGAAGTCAAACGCGTTTACACCATAGAGATAATATTAATTTCATCACTGCGACAGTAATCTCGCTTCAATCTATGTTTTGAATAAAACAAAGTACGAATAAAAAATGTGGATCTAATTCAAACTACTGACTGTGGTAAATAGTTGAGTTATTCGTTCAGCTCAGTTTAACCACCTTTGGTGCTCCATTACTACTCACTGAAGTTTGTGTTACTTGTGGAGTACTGCGACGTTTATAGAAATACTAGTACATAACCCAACAGTGAGCCGTAACTGTATTTTGTGAATAAATATCCTTCCACATTGCAGACAACAGGGTAGCATCTATTTCCTAGAGACAGCATAATTTGAGTCGAATCTTCTTACCCAATAATGATAACTTACATCGATCATATTTTGTCTGTCATTTTCCCAAAATCGAATAAATATCGATTTGTTTCTGTCTCACAGATCCTGCTGAGTACAACTATTATTGTGGAACTTCCTGTTTTATAATCGTAATTCTTAAGAAATTTTATAAATTGATTAGACAAACACAAATGTTTCCAAGTGAATGTACAAAACAACATTTGAAATTAATTCATATGTAGTCAAAACTTGGACTTCAACCAACACATGTATCTCGATAATAGTACACAGTTAAATTATCCAGAATATTTGGAAAAGAATAATAATTAAACGCATGAAAATAACGTACAATACTTAGTAAGCATAAAGGAAGAAATAATATTTGATCCTAATAATAGTACACCTTTAAAACAGTTGATAAAATAAGAAATAAACAGTAAATATTATACTCGTAAAATTTCTAACGAATTATTATAACAAATGGCTATCCAATCTGGTTGTGTTGATGACCATTGAATTTGATTAATTTCACCGGCAGCTGTATATGCTAGAATAGGATCTTCTATTGCTCTTGGCATAGACTGAATATCCCAGATAAGAGCTTGGCAATCTTCAGATGCTGTACATAAATGACAACTTGAATGTGGTGCCCATGCTAATCCATTTACAAATGCTCTGTGATTGTTTAAACGAGCTACTGGAGTGCACGGTACACGTAGATCCAAAATAATTATCTGCAGTTTTAAAACAATATAAATCCAAAAAGAACATCAGTATACTGAAAGATAGGTAAGCATATTGTGCAAAACAAAGAGGCTGAGATCTTTTCAGTAATTGTTAAATCGAAATAGCTACTAAATTAGAGCGAATTAAAGAGAGTGACCAATTGATTACAAAACAAGTATGCTTTTTCATATGTCGATAACACGTTTCATCTATCCAAAGATATAAATGATATTACGATAACTGAATTCTGCCTTAAGTCTCTATGGTATATATTTCGAAAGCTTTATCAAGGGTAGTATCCCTACATTTGGGACAGATTGTAACTTAACGCTTAGTATATGAATCTGCACTTATATAAGAGTGGGTTAAATTGAAATTTGTATATTATACTACTTTAAAACTAACTGTAAGCCCATTTCTATTATGTGATTGCATTTTTGTACAAAGTGAGCGTTGAAATAAATTGAAAGAGATCAAAACATATATTGAACGGAATTATTATTATTATTTCACTTCATGTGAGAGGATGGGACAATAATCTTAACTTTATCTACAAGTAATGGTATAGAGTTGTGCAAACAGACGGTAAAAAAAATGAATGCAATTGTAAAGAATTGGATTTGGGCGAACCATCGTTCCTGAATCAATTACCGTAAATGAACTTTTTACCCTATCTCGCTATATTATGTATCCACATCTGTCGACACATACTTTAAAGTAGGTCTCTAAAATTGCATAGTCATTTGAGGTGTGTTAGAATGGCCAACCACCCGTACATTATTGTTTTCTGACTTAAAGTATAAGTTTCCCTGGTTTTCACAACCGAAGTACGTGAGGCAAGGTTCGGACGCCTTAAGCATGGGAAAAGGACGTACATGTATTGAAGGTCAATGCTATTTATAGCAAATATAGGATTACCAGGATGGCTCATTAGTCACGTCCTATCTGAATGATTAAGAGCTGTCCAAAAATGGAAATATATTTACATAAGAGTTATAGGGTTACTGCAGTTTTAACAAGAAGATTCCTGAGATAAATTGACAAACGGGACAGCGGATAATTCTTTCTCCTATGTAAGTGTGTTGCTTCAAATAGTTACCCCTTTCCCCATGAGTAACATCTCAACTTCAGTAATCTATTCAACTTAATGAGGAAGGTGTGAACGAAAAAGAGAGCGAACAAATAAATAGTAATAAGGCATTCAAGCTGTATGAAAAACAAAAGGTCCCAGCTTTTGAGTATCAAGGTAATCTAGCATCTACCTTCGTTATACACATTTATTTTCTAAATTTCTGTCCACAAAATAGCCGCTTTGTTCGAATCGGTGATAAGATGTGCATAAATAACGTCCTAGTAATCTTCCTTTGAACAGCAATAAACGTGAAATTATTTTATTTTATTTGAACACGTAAATATTGGTACAAGAGAGCACCAAATATATATGCGCCACGCAAAACAATGAGGATGGGAAGAGAAAAAAAGAAGATAAGGAGCGTAAAAGAAAAAAAGAACAATAACGACTAGATTAGTGTAAAGTAGTGTAAATAATAATAAACGTGAAAACTTCTTATCGAGCGATTTCACGGAAATGTCTTTGGTCATTGGCAGACGCCGTCGTTTTTAGATCTAGTACAGAATGCGCTTTTGGTTAGTTGGTTGATAAAACGAATAATGTTCGTATAAAAGCCATCTGACACGTGTTATCATCAAAATATAGCCTGTAATACATATTACAATCGGGTCTGCGATTATATAATCCTCCGGATCTTACATTGATACTTTCATAATAAAAAAGTTATTCAAGTCTACGAAACAATTCGACTTATTAACAAAATCCAACATCATTAGTAACTATCATAGTATCAGGTTTTCCTATAAAAACTAGAGTGTTTTATCCAATTATGAAAATATCAGTCGAATATATGGTGAGAAAGTGAATAACTAAAACAACTTACTTCCACGGAGTCCATTGCAAATGTCGCTAGATAGTTTGCATCTTGCTTATTCCAAGCTAAGCGTAAAAGTGGGGAATGATTTGAATCTTCATACACGATATTAGAATGCTCCAAATGCCGAAGATCAAACATACGTACAGAACCATCTGCACCTAAAAAATATGATCAGTCAAAATCCAGTTACTTTACCTGAGACAGAATAGCATGGAATTATGGACAGTTGTATTTGGAATACGAAATATATAACAATTTAATGGAGAAACCGAAAGTACCGATGATCTAAAGCGAAAACCACATGGAATGTATCTGAGTTCTCTCTTATAATACTATTGTTGAACTTAACAAAACAAAGTAATACATAACATTACTTTAAACGATTGTAAAACAAGTTGACAAATACGATTTTGACCCGTTTTAAGCATGCACGGTTCTATGTTGTCACACCTCACATTTGCACAATTCCAAAACAAAGAAATAAACACAGTAGTGCTAACAATTTAAGACACTAAGTATATATATATATATATATATATATATATATATATATATATATATATATATATATATATATATATATATATATATATATATATATATATAAATGCGTATTCCTGCGATACTTACGCACTAGTCATGTGTTTCTGAAAAGTGATGTATAATCAAGTTCATTTCATGTTTGCAGGTGAGTACGTCATTGTTACACAGAATGGCTCATATTTTAATGACGAGTTATTTTTTCTCTGGTATCTGTTCATTCGGAACATCCCACCAGTAGTTCCGTCACATTATTCATAATTGATCATACGTAGATCTAGAGGTATTCACTTCAGCCTGTTATAACGGCTACTTCACCTTAGGACTTTTATGGCCGTTGCTTGTCTGTTATCCCTAACATATAATTATTTAATTTAGTACTTTTATTCATATAATACTACTAGAATTTTGCTGATTATCACAGTTAACAAAGAATCAGCTAACATCATGCTTATATAAGCTAACAACCGGTAGTCCACAAAATTATCACCTGTTCCTTCGTTTACAGTTCGAAATACTCGTAAACCGGGCGAGTACATCGTATTATTCACTCTCCTAAAATTCTGTGGTTATATATGACGTACCATAAATAATAAATCACAATCTGTACATAGATAGGACATTAATGGTACAAAACTGATAATTAGTAAAGCCGAATCATTAAATTCGGAAAATATAAAATAACATGACCCAAATACTTAATAAATGAATATATATTGAGTGCCTTCACTTTCAAATATTTCTGGACTGCTTATTTCAATTTCAAAATATGTTGCTTAATTATGTTATGTATTCGGTAGATAGTACCATAATAGTCTTCTGACTACTGTATAGAGCTGTAAAGTGAGAAAATTATAAACTGATTGCATTTTAATCACTGTAACTGGTTGAAATAACATAAGGTAGGAATTTAAAGTTTCATGTAGTTCTTCATGGGGAAATGACAAGGACTCTGTTAAGTTAAATTACAGGAGAAAATACTCAGGTTGAAAATAAAACCGCTTACCAACACTGGCGAAAACATCTCTTCCGCCTCCAGCACGACTGAAAGCTATGTCATATACTTCTTTGTCATGGGCTATCAACTGAGATTCTACACGTCCACTTACGACATTTGTATGGCCGATCACCTGCTCCGTCTTTTGAAGTAACAGTTAAGATAGATAATTATATAAAGAAACTGTTAACAAGTTTCATAAATACAACAAAACATCTTCTATAGAAGATTAGCCTTAAAGTTGTCCAGTACGCTAGTTTACATTGTATAAGTAATGTAAACTAGAGTACTGGAAAACCGTTTTGACGTTCTTGCCTCCGACTGAAAAAGGCTCTTGAACACTTCACAGACCAAGTCAAAAGATGAAACAACGATTTTCAAAAACAAACCCCTAGTTTGCAGAGATTTTTTTCGTACCGAAGGTAAATTATCAGACGATTGATGAGCTTCAGGGCAACAAGCAACGGTGGTCTGTCGCTCTATTTTCTATGTATTTTTCATCAGTCAAAATGAAACAAAACCAAACAAAATACAACCAAGGCGACTGATTTAAGTACTTGATCTTCGATTCACATTACCGTTTTAAACTCTGATGCATGAACTGAAGTTCGGACAAGTGCAGTGTCTGATGCACTAAGCACCATATATTTTCAAAAACTAAAGTAACTTATATTCAATCGGTATTGTTTGGCTTGTATCTTCACACTGAGGTTTAAGACTGCAATTGATCAGTCTGTTATTGGCATATGTGCAAGGATGGATAGTGGCTAGCAGTGGAATCCAGGACTCGCGTTTCGTCCTATTTGGGACTCGTCACTGGATGTACCTGCATCTCAGATTTGATGTTCACTCTGGGACTCGAGCCTAGTAACATTCGCTTCAAACGTCATCATGTTATCCACTTAGCTACTGAGTCCTGATAGCCACTTGCTTGTGTAATGGGGTGAAGTTTAATTCACTTGGTATTGTTTGGCTTGTATCTTCCCATTAAGGTTTAAGACTGTAATTGATCAGTCTGTTATTGGCATATAGGATGAAACGCGCGTCCTGGATTCCACTGCTAGCCACTATCCATCATTGCTTACAAAGCTTGTGAATTAAGGCAATATCGAGACATACGCACAGTATGCACATATGCCAATAACAGACTGATCAATTACAGTCTTAAACCTTAATGTGAAGATACAAACCAAACAATACCAAGTGAATTTAAATTCACCTCATTGCACAAGCAAGTGGCTATCAACACTCGGTAGCTTAGTGGATAACGAAATGGCGTTTGAAGCGAATGGTACTGAATTCGAGTCCCAGAGTGAAGATCAACACTGAGACGCAGGTACATCCAGCTGACGAGTCTCAAATGAGACGAAACGCGCGTCCTAAATCCCACTGCTAGCCACTATCCATCATTGCTTAAAAAGTAACTTATTTCCTGGTAGAGACATTTTTAATTTAGGGAAGATCGCTTATCAATATATGAGATCAAGGTGGGTGAAATTTTGCTCCACAAAGTAGTAAAACTGATTCTGTCTGTAATTCTAAAACTGATAATCAGTTGCAAGAGGTGTACTATGTTTACTTAGTGAAATCACTTGGCGTTTAATAGATCTTTGTCACTTAAGACACTTTCCCCCTTTAATAAGTGTATACGGAAAGTTGGTAAAGCAGTTCAAATGGTATTTTCATGATTCTTACTTCAAGGGCCCAGATAGTGCATGTAGTATCGATGCTAGAAGTTCCAATTATATTCGGGTCTACTTCATTCCAATCAAAGGAAGTAAGTGGGGCGCAATAATCCGAATTTTTATTATTATTCAATAAGCATTCATTTTTTACTTCAGAATCTTCATTTATTCTCCAAACACGAAGATAATCACCACTTGTGGCAAGTAAGTCAGGGAAAATACACTTTGTGTCAGGGATCCACATGATTTTTGACGTTGGGTAGTGATGTGCGAACGTACTTTGCACAACGAACTCTCCTTGTTCATCGTCTAGATATATTACTTGGACTTTATTATTGTACTCCTCAATGAAACTACCCACAGCTAAACGAAAGCGTTTATCTGGTCTGACAGACCAGTTCATGCTGAAAATACACCAAGGAGCATTGTATCTATATATCTCTTTTCGTTTAGTTGTATTAGACTTTGCACTAGTAGATGACTGATGTGAACCAATAGGCATGTTAGGAATAACATTAGGAGTGTCTGACATTGGAATAGACGTTTTCAATCTATGTTAAAAGAAACAAATAGTAAAGATTTTGATCAAAACTGGATATACATGTAGCTTATTGAGAAATGAAAACGTGAACATTGTCTTAATGCATCAGAATATAAGATGTATGAAATAAATTGAAAGGAGTGAAACAGATCTGCACAAACATTCACTGGTTTAGGCTTTCCTGTCTCTTAAAAAACTAAAACGTAGTCAAAAGAATAAAAAATATCAAGATTCATAAAACGAAAGATAGCGACTAGACAAGAAGTATGTGTGCATGTACCAAACGTCCACATAAAAGATATGATGACCTAGTCGCACTTAATTAAAAACGAAAAGGAGTCAAGATTTAGTGTCACTTATCTCTAGTATGTATCTGAATCTACACAAGCTTACATTTCTCTAAATTTCCCAAGCACACAGTATTCTGTCTGTGAGAGACAAACAGCCATAAAGCGTTGGGAAGTATACCGTTTAGAGGACATTATTGATTAACATACTCCTCAGATCCATCCAGGTTGATCTCAAAACGCAATCCCATAAGCAACCACATCGTTAACGACATTATTGTGTCAAAGTAGCCAAATCAACGATGTAAGTACCATAGGTTAGGATTGCAGTCCATGAAATAACCTACTACTTGGAGGCACTGAAGCAACAGATTCGAAGCTAGTATAAACTCAGATCTAGTTATAATATTGCAGTTAAAAATCAACAAATTCCCTTCGATTTCAAACTCTGGGCCTTGCTTACTATATCAACCATAGAACTCCTTGTCCTTATACAACATTACAGTGTTATTTGAGTGTTTTGAACGGCCTACAGGATTATTATTTAAAAAGGTGGACCCAGTTATTAACATTAGTGTGACGGAACCGAGCATATATATATCGCTAACGAACTACTAATTACTATCATTTTAGTTGACAAATTTACAATAACCCCCACGTAAATGAACGTGAATAGGAAGCCTCCAACCTCAATCAGGAAATGTCAGTTAGATATAACTGTAGATTACACGGTTTAAAAAATGACGTACATCAGGCTGATTTGTAGTGGATTATCTCCTAGACAATTTCTTACGCTTGGTAAATCAATCGCCTCGATAACTGTTATTAAATAAAACCGAACGGTGTATGAATCTCAGAATGCAACATGATGCACCAGCTACAGCTTATTATTGAATAGCACAGATCACTAAGTCACAAGCACACCAAGCGAATCCCAGCAGAAATGCTAATGCGAGCAAATGAAGAGGCGAATTATTAGTCGAACAAAAAATCGAATGAATAGTAGAGTCAGTTATTAAGATTAACGCACCTATGTATAACGGGAGAACGAATGACTCATCTAAGTTTTTAAGCAACTAACGTTTAGGCTAGAATGAGGGATATGTGCGTATTCTGTAACATGTGGTCAAGCATACATATTCATATAGACATGGTATCAATATCAAAATAAACAAACTGTAGCTATTTGAATAACACTGTTTGCTAAATAAGCTAATCGAAGGCGCTGAAGAGATTAAACCTTCACAAACTCATGTGTCGAGAAGGTTGTATAAATTCGAATGTAAACAATCCTTTAATTTAAGCCAGTTTCTTCGACAAACACATATACTTGGAAATTACTGTTCGTCGTTGAAACCTTGTATTTTCGACCACATTAGGTATATCCACTTACAAACAATGTTCTGTGGTAATCGAAGTCAAGTAGGTTTTTGTCAAAGGCGAGACAATTTATCTTTATGCTTACAATTGTTTCAAGGTCAGATAACGTCCTTCAGTGCGACTGGAAAACTGTATTAAAAATCGTTGGACAATAAATGCAATTAGAAAAAAATTTCCCGAGAATCTGTGAAGAGCCTGATTTTTGGACGATAAATGTGGATGATTTACGTCAATGATCGCGGCCTATTCGAGTTGGACAATAATGGTTTGACCACCAAGCTTACGAGAAAACATTATGAGGTAGACACTCAAACTTAATTTCTCTGTGGTGCTAACTAACTGACTGATGTGTCACAGACCGACCATAACAAATAATTGATTTAAACGGCGTGATATTTTATCATTGTGGAGCCGGCGAACAGTCATTCGGGTTTAGACAAATCACCTGGCAGTTAGGTCATCGAATGTAGCGGTAAATAAATCCCCGAAATAAATAGCTCTGTAAGCTTTCGACATTGGATGCTGGCCACTTTAGTTTTAGTGGACTCACCTAGCTGAAGGCGCTCGGTCGTGCATCCGCAACAGATCACGTGTAGGAACGCCATGCTCAACATCTACTGCAATCGCTAACCAGATCAGATCAGACAATTCCGATATATTGGCAATCGTCAAATACAACTTCTGATTCTGTCTTTTGATTTCTCTTGGTGGGTACGAGTTATATTAGAAGGTGTTACTGGTAAAAGCGTTTTCAAACACTGAATACCTGTGCCATCTTCAAATTCGTCCATCATTGTCATGGCCAAGGATAATCATAACATACAAGCCTGTTACAAGTCATGGATACGCGGATGCGGTAGTTGCACCGCTCTGTTTCGTTAACACATGGTTACTAATGCACATCTTTAATAACATTACGCGATCATCAAGGTAGATACAGTAGCCGAATTCCACATAATAATAATCCACGTCGGTTATTTCATTGTTTATTTAAACTCATAAACATTGTTACAAGGAACACCAGACAAATTTCCGCCACATAAATCAAAGGCCCCTGACATGGTTGTCCAGGTGCTATTCATCCTTTTGATATCTGCTTTCGATTCTCGGTGCATTGTATTCTTTGGCCATCCTCTTTTCCGTTTCCCTTCAGGGCTTTACATTGGAGCTTGCATCGTGATTCAGTTTGATGATTCGCGTAATGCATGTCCTATCCACCTCCAACGTCTTTTCCTAATTTTCTCTTCAGATGGAAGCTGGTCTGTTCTCTCCCACAGAAGGTTGTTTCTGATGGTATCCGGTCAACGGACATTGAGTGTCGTTCATAGACCATTGTCTATAAATACTTGCACCTTTTTGACGATGGTTGTAGTAGTTCTCCAAGTTTCAACTCCGTACAGTAGAACTGCCCTGACGTTCGTATTAAAGATTCTGACATTAATGCTGGCTGACAGTTGTTCTTAAATTATGGGTATACTGTCCTCACTCTGCCAATCCGTGCTTTTATATCTGCATCTGATCCTCCTTCTTCATCGATGATGCTGGCCAGGTACGTAAAAGTTCCCACTTCTTCCAGAGCATCTCCATCAAGTGGTTAGGGTTCATGTTCTCCGTGTTGTACTCGACGATCATGCTATTTCCTCAGTGTATGTAGTGACCTACTGATGCAGAGGCTTCCGTTGCATTGGTTGTCTTGACTTACGCTTGTTGGTGTATGTGGGATAGATGGGCCAGATCATCTGCGAAGTCCAAATCGTCTGTTTGCATGCAATCAGTCCACCGTGTTCCTTGCTTCTTCTGAGATGTGAAGGTCTTCAAAATTTATTCAACCATCAAAAGAAATAGATAGGGCGAGAGTAACTAGCCTTGTCTGACTCTGGTCTTCACTCACAATGCATCTATGGGCTACCGCTAATGTGCAGCATCAATGAGTAGTCCATCGATTGAGTTCCGTATGATGTTTACGGTCTTTTCAGGTACATTACAGTGTCAAAGAAGTTTCCATAAAGCTCTCTTATCTACACCTTCAAACGCTTTCTCGCAATCTAAGATATTTCTGTATGGTGATGAGTTTCATTCAATTTACTGTTGAACAATGACAAGTAATGTTGTATTTTGGTCAGTGTACGGCTAATTGTTACGGAATACAGCCTGTCGATCTCCAAGTTTGCCGTCTACCTAATCTTTCATGCAGTTCAACAATACTGGTAGCCACAGTAGTGAGATTTCGTTTTGTCAGTGCTTCATTTAGCTATATCAGCTTCTCTCCTGGTTCCTACGTCTTACATGAATCTAAACATTTCTATTGATGTATATACGATCGACCAGGTTCTCTGTAGTGTGATACAATGAAACTAATATGGCTTTCTGTAAAACTTTACGGGAGAATACAATGCAACCTATACCCACAAATCTGCAAATGCCTCATCATCCTCCTTTCTTTCTCCCAACCCATGTCGTCCATGATGTCTTCATACCCAGTGTTGTCTATCCAGACTTTGGCAGAATGGTTAGGTCGTTTCATGTGTACTGTTCTAGGGTCTTCCGCAGCCCTTTATAAAAATAATCTCTGTCTTCTTCACGTTTATTGGTGGGTTCGTATCACTGTATGACATTCATTCAAATTCCTCCTTCAGTGTTTCGAAGGATACTTTGATGGTTCTGGGTCCACAAGGTTCACATCTTATGCGTGTTTTTTTTCGCTTCTTCATATAGAATAAGTGTGGCCTCTTGTGTCTGTGGTTGTGAAATTTCTTTATGACTAGGGTGCAACAGCACCTTCGTCGAAGCCGTTCTTTTCTTCCAGAGTAGGTTCATTAGATTTCATTTTTCCCGAGCACGTCAAAGCTGTATTCCCTCATATTTGCAGCTACTTGGCTGGTAATTCTGGTCTCCCATATAACCTGAGCGTTCCGTTCACTTATAATAGTTGTTTCTCTGGTAATTAGAAGGGGTATCGAGCTCGTGACTTTCGAAGAATCTTCGCTTCCACCATAAGGCGTCATAATGTTTCTAAATGAAAGTCCTTTAGCTCTCATGGTACAGATTTAATGACCCGAGCCACACTTTAGGTTAGTGTTTCCCAGTGGGCTATTCTCTATGGGATGTGGTTGCTGACCATATTTCTAACCCTCCCCCTTCATCTGGACTTCTGACCGGGATTAGCTGTAGCAATACTACATGCAGGAGAGCCCTTAATCATGTTCCCAGATCGCCCACACTAGTCATCCAAAATATTATTAAATGACATAAGGAGAAACCGGAACCATTCTCACATGCACTTCTTCGAGGCGTCCAATTTTCCAGTGACCGTTGGCTATTTTGGACCTTGACGACGCTTGATGATGAAGATGCCACAGACATTTGAAGTTTGACAATACTTTAACCAGTAACACCTTCTGACATGAATCGTACTCACCAAGTGAAATCAAAAGACAGAAGGTATATTTGATAGGCTATCAATATACCGAGGATTGTCTGATCTAATCTGGTTAGCGATTGCAGGGGTTGTTGAGCATGGCGTTTCCACTCATGATCTTTGCGGATTCATGACTGTGCTCCTTTAGCTAGATGAGTCCATTAAAACTAATGTGGTCAGCATCCAATGTCGAAAACTTACAGAGCTATTTATTTTGGGGATTTATTTACCGCTACAAAGGATTTCCCAATGATCAGTGTTTTTTAAGTCGACGTTAAAGAGGCTCGATTTCGCGAATAAATTGGCTAGGGCTCAAGGGCGCTTCATTGGCACTACAGATACATCAAGAAATGATTGTTAGGTCCCTTTTATTGTTTTGAATGGGGCCTAAATTGAAGGGAAACATTCGCATTAGTGATGCAATAATAGTGCTGCGAACTGTGTAAGGTCATGTACGTCAAATTCACAACGAGTAATGGTTGCCTAGTGTTGGGGACGACCGCAATACGAGCTTTGCCGGTATCTGCATCGGACATACAAAATGCTTCTAAGAGCGACCCCATCGTCAAGATGACTGTGAGCTATGTCACCAACGGTTGATCGTCTAGGAAGTTTGATGGTGACTTGAAACAGCTGTATCAGCGGCTGGATTCGCTATGTATTGTAACGACTACTTGATTTTCGGAGAAAGAGTGGTTGTGCCTGAATCCCTTCGTGCAAAAGTGCTAAAACAGCTCCACTTTGATCATCTGGGGGTTAGACGAATGAAATCCATAGCCAGGAGTCATGCATATTGGCCGCTAATGGATCAACATGTAACAGAATTGGTTGAGAAATGTATGCGGTGTTAGCAAGCGGCAAAGGTGAACGCCAAAGTTCCACCAGTTTCATGGCCACAACCTGATCATCCTTAGTTCAGGATACACGTCGAATTTGCAGGCCCAATTAACAGAACCATGTATCTTGTTGTAGTCGACGCCCTTTCGAAATGGCCAGCAATCAACCCTATAATACCGCCAACGACGATTAAAACAATACAAATCCTCACAGGAATTTTCTCTCGAAATGGTATACCGGATGCCATTGTATCTGACAACAGTTCACAGTTTACCCCCAGCCAATTCCAGTCATTCTGTCAACGGCTAGCCATAAAGCACTTTCAGTCGCCACCATACCACCCGCGGTCGAATGTGCATGCAGAAAGGTTTGTGGATATTTTTAAAACAGCTTTGGCCAAGTCAAAAGGGGAGGGGACGCCAGCGGACGCGTTGCAAAATTTCTTATACGTATACCGAACAACACCAAATGAGACGTTGCGGAAGCGAAAGTCCCCAGCAGAGATCCTCATTGGAAGGAGACTGAAGACGATCCACAGCCTGATGCGTCCATGTAATGTACCGACACCAGAACGGAAAAAGTTTGAAAAGCAATCCACGTACGAAGCGGGATTTTCTGTGTTTGCCCGTGACAACAGACCAACCAATGGTCCATGGATGAGAGCACGGATGGTCAGAAGAGTTGACCGAGTCATGTAAGAAGTTGAGGTGGGCAGCGACAGGTGGCAACGCCATCGAAATCAGTTACGCAAACAGCTAGCCTCAGACCGCCCATCAACCGAAGTAAATATTCCCATTGATATCCTGCTAGACACATTCAACTTACCGGCAACTCTGTTACAAGAAAA